AGCTGGTGGTGGCCAGAGAGAAGGAAATAATTCCTCTTAGTTGAAAGAGAGCCTGAAGAGGTCATTTACCTCATCCAAAAAGCTCTGGAGCATCCCTGTTCTTCAGTATCTCAGTTTATTATGCCACTTTTCCCTGTTACAGATTCTGCAAGAGATTTTTTAATACTTTGAAATCAAATACTCTGATTGTAGAGTGACTGTTGAACTTGCCAATGTTATTTTTTTAAGAACACCAAATATCAATTTTCTTCCCTGTTTCTGAAACTACTTAGCCTTCCTAAGAAGAAATTAAGAACTGCTCTAACACAACTGGGGTGGAGAAGCTGACATCAATAAAATTTAGGAACTTATTTCTTCATCTGTATTTAAATCTTTGATGAGTTTGATCAATGGATGTTTTTACTAACTACCTTGCCTGCTTTGTCAACCTAAGGTTTCAGGCAAGTTATATTTCTTTTGTGCTTCCCTGCTAGTAAAGGTCGGTAGAAGTTACTCACTTTCAGAGGGCTCCTTATGCTCTTAATAGTTGTACTGATGACTTTTATACAATGGGACTGATGACAGGCTAGGGGAAATCAGGGCTGATATAGAGAGCTGATATGGAAAGCCCATTGCAGAACATCTGGAAATGTAGCCAGGAGGAATTTGTGAGAGGAAAAGATCCGATCACCCCCAACCTTATAATTTTGTTTACCTGTTCTCTAGCACCTGTGCTGAGTCATGTAGGCTTGCAAGTTAGTACATTGTAGTGGCCACATTAAAGGAAAGATACCAGTAAACATAAGAGGTGAGAAAGGAAAGGACGGGAACCTTGATGGGGATATAGGGGTGGCAACATTGTGCAATGCTGAAGATGTGGGGATACACTCATTCTGGTGGAAAATGCAATGTGCAGAGAGGAGAAATGACCTTCAGAGTCACTAGCTGACACTGTGAGTCCAGACAAGGCAGGCAAAAGAAATTCCACGAACTTTTGGGGGCTCCTTGACTTGCTTCGTATTTGACTGCTGGGACAGCATGAATCCAACAAAAGCTCATGTGTAGCTGTCCCTCAGGACAGCCTCTAGGTGCATGGGCATGGGTAATTGGAATGTTTCCAAAGTAGTGACACAAACAATGACATAAAATCACATACATTATCTTTACATTTCATTTGATATGTAGAAGCAGGGAGACAGAAGAACAGGTTTTGGAGATACGTCTCTTTTTTTGAGAGAAGTGTGAAGCTGGCATAGCGATGACGGACACAGCTGAAGGCACTGTGTGTCCTTGGGCACTCTTTTTCTTCAGTGCACAGATATGTTTCTACAGCATAGCGTTACCCTGACTGTCCCTTTTGCACCCTGTGCTCTCTGACTTTCTACATTCCATGGTCTGAGTGACAGATATACAAAAAAGACTCCACTGGAGTCCTTGCATATTGTCCATGAATTTTTAGTTTCTTTTTAACACAGAATAAAATGGACTTTTTTTGGTCCATGATTTCACTGCGAACACTCTAACTTGAATATCACGTCTCACCTCCACAGTGACATGCAAGATGCAGCAAATATTACAGGAGATGCCCCAAGAAAACTCCAGTCCTCCAGCAGGAAATTCACCATTACCATTCCCTGGTGATTAGGGGGCAAGCTGAGACAGTTGTTTGCATTTTCTTCGCTTATTTTTGTTATTCCTAAGGTGGGATTTAAACTGTTCAGCAACAGCTTTTGAGACCTACAGTTTCTTCCTGTTATGGAACAGCACCCTGAAGACCTATTTTACTCTAAATTTTTAACAGTGCAAAAATCTCTTTATCATTCATCAAATCAATTCCATTAATTATTCCAGTATAATTATTATATTCTTAAATTCTGATATCTTCTAACCAAGCACATAGCACAAAAAGCATTTTAGACTCTGACAAAATACTGATAATAAGAACAAAATTGCTTCACCTATGGTTTTTTGTGGTTTACTTTATTCTCTAATAAATTGTGAGGAAAAAAAATTTCCTACAACCATTTTTCCTTTTAGGTACTTTGTTAGAAAAAGAATCTATTTTAAGTACCAGTAGAATTCATCATATTATCACAGGAAAGAAAAGTTGTTTCATTTATAAGATCTTCTAACAGCATGAAGCTAACCCCATGGTCTCTGCGACAGAAATTTTGCCAGCTATAGACTTATAAGGAGTAGAGAAAAATAAGTTTCTCAGATCGAACTGTTAGTCATGATAAGAAGAATGTGTGTCCCCTACAGATGTTATAGTTATTTGTATGATAAAACCTGATCATCACAGTAAGAATTTTGCAGCCTTCTTTTAAGTTAATGCTCAAGTTCCAATTAATCTTCTTTTGACAGTGTTTGTCTAATATTTCAGTGTTGAACAACATTTCCAGGGTTAGGTTTGCAGTGAGCCTACTGGGTACTTTAAAAGATGTATTTTGTACTTGCTTCAAAAAGACTTCTTTTAATTCTTCAATGCTTCACAAATATTTATAGGAAAGACAAGTATAATAAGCACTGATAAATGTTTAAGAGCACATCTAGACTTGCAAGTTAACTGGAATTAACACTGGGGTTAATCTAGAGCAAGCAATAGTTGTGGAACAACTCCCTGGGGAAAAAATGTATTTTATAATAAAATTACCTCATTCTCACATTCAACACTTGGACTGTTTTGAGTAACATAAGATAAATGAGAACAAAGCATGTTTGTTCCAGTTGGTGGGATCATTACTTTACTTAGGAATGACAGTCTAAGGAATTCAAAATTAAATGAGGGGTGTGAAAATACCTTAAGGTGTCTCCAAGAAACTTGAGGTTGCATAAATACAGACTCAAATACCAGCAGCCATTTTAAACCAACACTACATTGACACTTTGAAAAGGCCTGTGTAATGCAGAACATGGTGCTTCATAGGGCACTGCACACCCCCATATAAAAGAAGGGCTTTTTTTGAGAGTGCCATTGCCAACACATCCTGAGTGAACACATCCTGTTTACTCAGAGGAAGCAGGACATCTGAGATTATTGTCTGGTTTGCAAAAGTTATAGCAAATTATTTGGTGGGGAAATAAAACCAGTGATATTTTATTTGGGTGGTAGATGTTGAGTTGATATTGCCAGTATCATCTCTTCTCTGTTCTTACATATTGGGAACAAAAGAGAAACTCGGAGTCCTTGTGCCATCTGACTGTCATGAAGAGCTTCTTGGTGGAAGAAATGAGTGCTCTCCCTATAAAGAGAAGGCAGCTGTACCTCTCACAAAGATAAGAGGATTTTCAGCCTTGGTGCTGCCTGGTTTTAATATCTACCCTTGGTTGTCAGCCAAAACCTGTGCCAAAACACACAGCACTGATGAGACCAAGGCATTAAACCTTAGTAATTCTAAGTTCCAAGTACAGTGTTTGGGGCAAAGATTAAAATGGGACCAGGAACCCAGGGCAGAAAGGCCTGGTGATGTACTAAGTGGGCCCACACCACAGCTGCAATAGTGCCAAACCTTTGCTGCTACCCTAGGAAAAGCCCTGCTTTTGCTGCCACGGGAGTGGCAGGCACAATAGTGAACCTAACAGGAGAACTGCTTCAAAAGAGAGTCAGAAAATTACTTGTAGCTTAAGATACCACGCAAATTGAAGCTCTGCAAGAGAGCATTTTCTCTTCAATAGAAAAACAAATGTGACATTCTGCCCCGCACCTTAGTTTTGGTGACTGCACAAAAATAAAGGGGGTAATGGCAGAAAATGTGTGAAGCTATCCCCCATGCAATCTCTCCACGTTTTGTCAAGATCCATAAATCAATCTTAGCATAGAGTTTAGTCAAGAAATATTTAAAGCAAGTAACCTCAAACTCACAGACTGAAATCATAACAGAAGCAAGATGATGAAAGAATACAAGATGTAGGCATTGGCTATTTAAATGCTTCCTGCTGTAGACTTCACTCCCATATAGTTCCAAGGATAAAAGCCAATGTGGAAAGAAAAAGTAACATAATGCCTCACATTTCAAACCCAAGTCATGCTGTAACTGGAATAAAAGGAAATGTACTATTCCATAAACACCCTTATTAATATATATTATAAAATTCATAACATTATAAGCAATTATATTCACTGCATTAAGCAAACTATATAGAAAATAACATTGGCCTAAAACCAGAATTGCCATAATAATATCCAGTTTCCTATTTGAAACAGACTTTTTCATCTTAACAAAAAATGTATTTTGAACTACCTTTTAAGGTGATGGACATTTCATCTAGCTTCAGGGCAATAGTCTATTCTTAATTTATTATTGTTTAACTTTAAGGAACAGCTAGGAATAGTTAACTGAATAAGTAACAGACTGGTATTAGGATATCTGTTTTTTCCTCCAGCTGCTCCCATGTTTGCTGTCTTGTGGTTTTTTGTCGTGTTAGATACACATTAACCTGGTAGACTGACCTTCACTTCTCTCCCAGTCTCTACAACACATTACAATTCTTTAAAAAGACATCTTGGGAGAGACTACCTTTTGGTAATTCTCCTCAACTGAGCTCTACAGACTGGTCTGGCCTGCATTGTACCTGCATCTGTCACGAAAATTTGATGACAAATCATCTGTTTCCTGATAGATAGGCTGCACTGACTTCAAATTCCCATGAAATGTTTTTGTCCGCCAGGAAGAAAAACATTCTCCTCTCTTGCAGTGATCATTTTCAATCTTCAATCCTCCATTTGACTGTATTGTCATTTATTTGTATTATAATTTTTCTGGATCAATTACCTGTTGCAAAATACATCTTCCTGATGATCTTTTGGGAAAATGTAAAGAGACCAGAACTAAAGAAAGGAATGAAAGCAAATGTTTCACAGTTAACAACAGTGTTTTCAGAGGGTGAGAAATGAAGATCCTTTTTAAGGCTGACCTACCCCAGTTTGTTTAAATCTAAACTGAACTTGAACTGATAAACTACTCTTTTGAGATTAACCTGAATAGTGTACATTCAGTAAAACACTGTAAATGTAAACATACCTGAATTGGAGTCAAACTTTGTTTCTGACCTGAAAAAAAAAAAAAATTCGTAAGTTACAAGAACTGCTTTATGCCATAAAAGCCATTTGTCAGACTGATCCCTCCAGCAAATACCATCTTTAACCAGACTGTCTAACTCTGTACATTAACATTTAGTTCATTCAAAGGCATTTGAACCCAAACAATAACTACTATCTTTACTGTTACCTTTCCAGTATTTTATTGTTTTCCATGCGGTAGAGTTACAAAAAAATATTTTAAAAGATAAATCACAAAATGAAGAAAATAAAACATAAATTTAAACCAGGATTAAATTATATACTGTGAATCATAGCATGCAGCTGTTTGTATGAATTAAATAGTTTTCATTAATTTTCATTTTTGAAAAGTCATTAAAAGAATTTAATTCATTCATGAATGTTTCCAATCTATTTTTGAATGCCATTAATGTCATTTGTATTGTATCCAATGATCTGTACTTAATTGTGTAACATCCTAGGAGGTTTTTGTTTGTGTGTGTCTTCAATTACTCATTCTGCACATAGGAGTAAGTGGTTTGATTTTCTTAAAAGTGGAAAGTGGGGGATGGGAGAGAGGAAGGGAGACAGACCTAAATTTTAACTTGTTTTAAAGTCTTTGCAAAAAGACAATAATGTGTGCATTATGCACCATTAGCTTTGGTCGTGCACTGAAGATTTTTCTCTCCCTAACAAGTAGTGTTTTCTTCTAAGGGCTTAGCACTTAGCAAATGAACCCTATAACCTGTATATTTAATAAAAGGAAGAAAAAAAATAGCCGTTGTGGGAACATCATGTTTCAGATATCGGTTAATAATACTTGTAAATGTAGAAGCCTTTGAAGGTCCCAATTCAACTGTGGGAAAACTTAAGTTGGGTAATTACTCAAGATGCTGCTGATGTGCTGTCACGCAGAATTAACCCTATGACTAGGGCTATCTACACAATCTGCTACACGACAGCATTGTCTATATTGAGGTCTCAAACCAATTAACAGGCATGTTCCAATCAGATTTATATCGCCCTCTAACAATCATTTGTACGCATGGTCATGGCTGTCACAGCAGGACACAAGGTCTGACCAGCAGAAGACCTGTTAAAGCATGTTATGTTGGCAGCAAAATGCATTTCCCCAGAAATTCTAAGGAGGAAGTACAATGTTGGATCCTTTTACATTGCATCAAGGAAGCGATATATTTTGGGAAGTTACAGTCCTTCTTTTTTCAGAAACAAATGGCTGAAGCTCAAAAACTCAGATCGCAGATTTATTTTCAACTTTTATTTTATAAGCTTGTACATGCCATTACATCTCTTTTACATGCACTCTATATTTTTATATAACATACATTGTAATTGTATACCAAATATCTATGCTACAGCAAATAAATATAAAATCAATCATAACTTTAAAAATTAACAGGTTCACAATATTAGTCATCAGAAAGGAAACAACTCTCTTCTCCCATCCTGCTCATTCTGCACCTTCTTCCAGTGCTCATAATATTTTGTCTTAAATATAACTCTCAGGAGATGGAAAGGTGACATGGAAAAGACATATCTTCATAATTAATATTTTTAAAGTACCACCAAAAGCACTGAACAAAGAAAGCATGTTGCTGACATACCTTCACAATTAGCAGCACCAGTAACTACCCAGGGCACCAGCCCATGCTTAGTTTGTCAGTATAATTCAATTGGTATTTCCATGGAGTTGCAATTAAAGCCACTTAGTGTTTTATTTACAATATTCTCCTCAAGCTGCTGTATACCTGTCAACACTATTCTCTCTTGCTCATCACTCTATCAGCGACATCTCACTACCTACATAGTCAGACACAATGTATGAATCTTACCCTCAACATCTGTTTATCTGCATGATCAACTTCTCGTTGCCTAAATTATAGATACTCCCTATGAGTTGGTCAAGCAGAGCTCTTGCTTCTCAGTCTGAATGGCTTGTTATGGACACATGCACTGCAACTTGTGGCTTCAACAAACTGGGCGAGAGGCCAAGGTGGCAGAGTGTGCATGGAGAGTAGGGTCACAAGGGTCACTTGCCACTGTAATGAGTACCAAAGCTCCAAACAGTCATGAATTACTGGACAACACATCAGAAAATTGATATGGTGGTCATAAATGAATCGAACTTTTTCTGGCAACAGCAGAACAGCTATGAAAGAAAACACAACATGGGAGGTAGTACTAGGAGCCATCAAGAGCAGGAGGGTCACCTGTGTTATATTGACCATTTCCCCTTGAGAAAACAATGTAAAATTTAGGACACGGTATTACAGAAACTGTTAGAGACTCTTAGTAAGGCACAAAAAAAGTGGAAGAAAATAATGAAGCATCTTTAGCACTGTAAATAAGCAACAAGTGGCAGATGTGAGAAAAGCAGATTTCTGCAAGAACACAGTCACCTTGGCTACTTGAAGAATGACAAAGCTTACAACAATTTTAATGGAAGTAGCATTTTTCCCTTCTTCCAGGATTAATATCTGCTTCTCAACAGCACATTAGACAAAAGTGTCAGAAACTAATTGCACATAGGCATTAAAAATGCTCAACTAAAATATGGTCATTAAATAGGATAACATTAAATGTACTGAAAGTACATTCCAAAAGGATGTTCTGCTACACACAAAAATATTCACACTGACTCCTTCATACTTTTAAAACTATATTAACTAGAAGGAAAAAACTCCTCAGTACATTGTTTGTTATCATAGTACATACTCTGATATTCGACCTAAGCACCCTACTAGACAAGATGCACTTTACAGAACCAGGTCCTGACTGTACAAATTGTCTTTTGCCATTTAGCACAACAAAAGGGGAACACCCCAACACCACGCCCCACCCTCCCACCCCCACCCCCAAAGGAACAGATAATAGTTTTCTGCATATTTTCTCTACTTCTATCTCCTATATATGAGTATTCTGAAAGCCAGGTAATCATTCATAAATATCTTTGGAAAGGAGTCTATATGAATAAAGGGAACAAGAGGGTATTTATAAAGTGCTTTTCATTTCCAACTTCAATATGGCTCAAATACACACAACACATGGTAATACAAATGTCAATTAGGCTCAGATACCAACACACCATATGAAAGGAAATAGTGAGCCACTGGAAAGATTTAGCTAAGCACAACTGTTGCAATACTTGTAAAGATCCCAGGAATAACTAAGTCAAACACAAACAATAGAATATATGATGTTCATTTTATCTGTACTGAAAAGAGGTGTAGGGTTTCAATCTGTTTCTTTTAAAAGACATCATATACCAGATCTTCAGACTACCAAGTACTAAGAAAAAAAGAGAAATGGAGTAATGATAATCATCATGTGTTCCTACAGTCTGAATTTTAAACTACTGCCTTCCTAAGTATGACTAAACTGCAGTTGTTCAGTGCTACATTTTACAGTGTCAACAGACACACTACAGCTGAAGTTAATGCAAATCTGCAATTTGCCAGGGAAGCAGGCCTTTGCCAAAGAGAGAGGAAAGAGGACTTACTGCAGAACCTCTGCTGTTGTGTTACAACTGCCTTTCCTTTTACCTTTCATAATGAAGTATTTAACAGGTTTGTATAGGTTTTGTTGAGGGAACATAGAGAACAGCCTTTGGAAGCTGAACAACTCTCTCAGAAAGTACTAAGTAAAAGAAAGTATTTGCATTTTAACATGGAGGAAGTAATTTATTCCTCTTGGTTTTTTTAGGCCTTTGTGAGTTTAGCAGTTTATACCAGGCTGTTCCTTTGCAAGGCTGTGCTTCAAGGGTGCTAAATGGAACATTGGTAGGGGCAGACATTTAATATACTACTACTCTCTGAAAAGGACTTTGATAAAGATCTGTTACAGTCTTAAAGACGATGCATCTTTGGTATATCTTCATTTTCAAATAATTTTATTGCATATTGGCATGGGCAGTTTGCTGAAGAGATGATGGTCTAGCAGGCTCCTGATGCAATCCAAGCCAACCCATGTCCTGGTCCAGGTGACTGGGCAGAATACAATCTCTCTCTTTCATATTTGCTTCCCAGTGGTACAGAAAATACCTAGCTACAGTATCAGTGCTCCTGCTACAGCACTGCTAGCAAGCTAAAGAAGGCCAGGACGGTAATGCTCAGTTGTGAACATATCCCTAGACACAGCACTGGCCCTTATCATGCTGATGAGAACTCTAGACAGGATCTAGGCAAGCTGCAGGGGAGGCTCAGGCCAGAGGCCATTCTCCAAAAGCAGAATGAACGCTGTTTCAGAGTAGAGGAATTCATGCTAAAACCACAAGCCATGTCTTGTCACTTGCCTTTAGGGCCAGAGAAGAGACTTCTGTCCATTTTATTTTTAAGTATAGACATAACCCTTCTTACAATGCAAGCCTTTACCTGGAAAGCAGTAACTGATCATAATCATGAGATGAAACTCCAAATAAGTCAAGCTTTCAGAAAGAAAAATGCAGCAGAATTCCAATGTAAAAATTAATACCTGATATAAGTACTTAGGCATTTATAAGACCCGCACCATCAGAGAATATGAGAAGTCCCCAAGTTTTAAGAACGAAGCAGAAAGAGCAAAGCTGGGCTTGCTGCTGCATTGTAGCCAGGGGGGAGATCCTGTGGTGTCTCAGGCAGCAAAACTACTCACAGATATTTCCCAGAGCTGGACATCCCTAATGCCTGTCTCTCTTCAACCCTAATGCTGATTCTTTGTTATAATATGTATTATTTGCAATAATATTATCTGCTATAATCTAGTAATACAGTTGAACTCTTGTTCAGGTCTCTCCTCAAAGAGAGATTGAATATATTATCTTTCCTGATTTTCTTATTGCTTTAAGGACTTAATATCTTTGAGGTTTAATAACTATTTCCCTGAAAAATTTGGGTGAAATTGGCAAATAGATTAAATTATACAGTTTTATTGTCACAAAAGGATTAACAGGGAGTCAGCATGTCAATAATAAATTATGCTGTATTAGTTCCTTAATAAGCCTGGTTAAAGAAAAA